GATGAAAAGAAATCCAAAACAAACTTCAGCGCAAACGAAACTAAACTCTCGTTAAGTCAGTCTGTGAAACAGCGCTGAATTCCTTGTTCTGGGTCAACAGTGTGTATCAGGATTTGAGCACGCGTCATGATTGGCCTGTTCAAAAGGCCATTGTCTGATTTGCCAATCAGGATGAAAAGAAATTCGAAACGCACTTCCGGTAATTTGTTAAGTCCGTTGGAGACCCAGAACAAGGATATCGTCGCTGCTTCGCAGACGTTACCATGGTTACTAACCGAGGTTAAATTATGTCTGCGATGCCGGCTGACAGTAGTTTACTGAATGTACTGAAGAAATTAAAAAGGAAATAAGTCTTTTTGCAAAATATAAAAAGTCACATTTATTCCTATAATTTACAGTCCTATTTTTTTGCTTAACTAATTTATTTACGGGATTATCGTCTTTTGAATGTAGTTCTACAAATGTCAGTCTGGGCCATAACCAGGTATTGTAGTTTTTGAAAATATTTTTTGTAGGAACCAAAAAATGCTACTCAATCAGCACCCTCCCAGAAAGCCCTTTAGCGGTCCCTTTGCTCGATTTTTCCACAGAATTTCTGGCCAATAACAACAGAAGCTATCACCCATTCGCCAGTTGTATTTCGTCACTCTTCGCCTTTAATTTCGCAAGGTTTCATGGAATATAACTGACGGCTAAATTCTTTACAGCTCAAAGAAGAGTAGTAAATGAGTTTCCTCGAGGTCGGCACCAGAAGCCCTTTTTGATGACGTCATAGAGTATCCAGAAATGGTTATGGCCCGGACTGAACAAGAATCCAATTAACTGTTTTCATTACACACATTTATGTAATCCTCCGGGAAAAATTGTTTAAAATACATTTCTGAAATGTCCTTTCAGGAGTCCTTTCATTTTTTTTTACATAAAAATATTAATCTTAAAAAAATTGGTTCCCCTTCCTTTAAAACGCAAATTTAAAATTAGTTGATAATTTAATCTGCCCATTAAACTTGATGCTTCTTTATCTAAAAAAACTGTTAAAACCTATGTAATTTGTGAGCACCTTTGTTCAGTGTGGTGCACAGAGTTTTTTATAACCAATCACTGGTCTAAATCACTATTGACAAGAAAAACTACAATGACGCAACAGTAATTTTACTGCATCCTTATTCCTACGTTTTTTCATTGTTCTGTGTGTTCCTGTTTATAAAGGGGTGTGAATAAAACGGACACAGTCGTAGACTTTTTTCAGATGATCTTTAAGATTATAATTCAAAACTGTCAGACTAGCAATACATCCGCTTCTCAGAATAACAATCTGAGACCACATCAGAAAACATTCAGAATGTTCGAGCAAGCAAGAAAGTTCTTGGGGGCTGCGAATTTCCCAAACGAAAACACTTGATACTGACGTCATACTAAGTCCCAGTTACCCACAGAGTGAGAGCATCGTTTTACGCGGTCCCAGACGGCGTCGGCCCGGCTGGGATTTAGAAGATGAAACCTGGGTGCGGCAAGCATCTAACTACTACGTGTAAATGACTAACTGCATGATCACTTTGTTAGTAAACTTTTAAATTATTTCGGCTAAAAAAGACTAGGTGAGTGGCTACATCAAATTCAGACACTCCTTAAAAAACTTCTTTTATATTGGCCTAGCTTCTAGTGTAATAAATGACTTTTTAACTTATTTCAATTAGTATATTACTATCTGAAATAATTCACCTCTTTACTCTCTCTAAAGAGGAAATTCATACGTTCACATCGAGCTTATTGAAAACTGGAAAATAATGTTTTTTTCACCCTCCCCCGCTAAAATCTGAGCAAAATGTAATTGGCATAAGACATATTTCAATTTTGATATATATATGTCTCATTCTCAGTTAGATAGAATGTTATCAACAAACATTTTGTTAATCTACGAAAACCTAGCTAATAATTTGCACTAATTTATTATAATTTGGAAGCCGCAGAGAAACTCTCGTGCAGGTTCAAACGGACTGAACTATCCTCTTTTGCTGTCATCAAACAAGCGCACAGCTGAAAATTAAAGAAACATAATCATAGATAAAACACATGAACTTTGGAAGAAACTATCGCGCCTATGCACCTATATCTGCATCATAACAAAAAGCTGGAACAGTTAAACAATTCATCTATAGGGATATTAAAGACATAACCTTGCAATAATGAGAACAAGAAGGTAAAAAAGAGGAACTCAATAAGATTTTTCATCAAACATTTTCCAACCCAATGAACACAGCTAAATTCAGGTGAGGGAAACAATGAAAAAAGCAACCAAAAACCATTTACTAGAGGACTCACCGGCTTTTTTTCTCAACTTGAGAATTCCTGCTAGCCTAAAAAAAAAGCATTCACGCAATCAGTTAGAGCTAACGAATTACTTTTTTCTGCTTTGGAAAAGAAATAAACCATATAAGATGCCGAAATCTGATTACATAACGGGTAACAGCCAAGTCTGATGCAGACCATTTTGGTGATTTTGGACCATTTTTATGGAACACATGGGTTTTCAGCTCCAAGTGCCTCGGACTCCAGAAGGAAACAGCTCTAGTTTACCCAACACACAAAGTGTAAGCACTTTTTTTCGAATCGTTTCAATACAAGTTAGGAGATACTTTGTACATCGCCATACATTCTATTAAAAAATCAAAATTTGAACAGATCACATAGAGACTGTTCGAACTGTAATATGGTTAAAGGAATTTCTTTTGTTCCTGCACGCACAAAGTGGTCAATCCTTATTGGATAAGATCTTGCCTGTTTCGCTTTTAACCTTGCTCACTCTTGAGGCTACCAGAGTAAGGATCAGCAGAAGGCGAGGTAGCTAAGCCGTCTTTGTCATAGCTCGAGAAAATAGTGGAAGATTTTCCACGTCAAAACAAGAAAGATGCTAATTAACATTTTTAAATAAACACCCCTTCATATCTTATAACTGCCAAAAAACGGACAACTGTTATGAAGACGGCAGCTTTACATAGATCGAGGTAAGTTTGTTTTAAAGTTTAAAACATATTGAAAGAAAAAAAAGTAATAAAAACCAATGGCTTCAGCTAGCTTTCATATGAATTTAAAAACCCATGCCGATGAGGCGAAAATCCGAAATCCTAAAACATAAGGCACTCTCGCGGATAATTGTTTCGAGAAAGGATAACAAAAGGCGTGGTGCAGTTAATTTGTTTTCAAAAAAAAAACCAATTAGTCACACTATTTCCTAAAACACAACAAGCACAGTAAAAATAGCACTGATGATAACTGGTATTTGAGGCCGAATATGTGCTAGACTACATCCCGCTCTATCTTCAATTTCGGATTCTTCCCTCCTATGTTATGATGACATCGATCGAGGTAAGCATGCTTTTAAGTGTGAAATGTTTTTAAATGAATAATAAAATAACTAGTGGATTTGGCTTTCCGCCTATGATTTCAATAATTTAATGAATAATTACGAAGCTATTGGAGGGTGTTATTCTCCTCGCCTGAACACCCTCCTTGATCTGTATTACTTTTCATATCGTTCTTAGCCACATTCAGTAATTGCTAGTTACTATTCTTAATTACCTCTAAAGCATTTTCTGATTGCTGTTCTCCTTCTATTCCATTGGCTTCTTGGTTATTCTGGAAAAAAATGTAACCTGTATTAGGCTCAAGTATATTAAGCGGACACCCTGTATTAGATCCAAATTTGCTCCCACGTTTTGCGTGAATCTACTCTGTCTGTTATTCAGGTTACTGGCTGCTATAGGTTGACAAACTGTCAATTTACAAAATAAGAAAAAAACGTTGAAATATCACGGGGCGTTTTCCAGAATCGCAGAGTTTTCGGGCAAGCGTTTCCTCCCCTCCTCCTCGTTCACCCTTCGATCTTCCATTTCTTTTGCTTTGCTTCCAACTCAGTAACTCGACTAGAAACGCTTTCTGATAAAGGCTGATCGACCTTCCTTGACCATTGTCGTATTGTCCGATATTATAACTAAAAATTGATTTTCATTTTAGTACTTACCAAATCAGTGAATAGCACTTTCCGCGCGTTTTGATTGGCTCCCGTAACTCGGAATATCCTTGGCTATTGGCTATTCACTATTTTGTGACCAGAGCCAAGATGGCGCCTCGCCCCGAGACATTTTCGGAACATGAAATTTGAGCGATAAATGAAGCAGTCGTACAAACAAATACCAAGAAAGCGACTAACTTTGCCTTGTCGCTGTCTACTGGTATAGGTAAAAAATTATTTTCATGCTGAATTTGCAACAAAATCGTAAAAATGCACTTGAAAAAATCCCCTGAATGTTTGTAAATTGTAAAAAAAATCCAATTCGGTGACATTTTAATTTACAAAAAGGTACTTTTTTCATTTCTTATCCAACCGATTTGGAAAATACTAAAACAACTATCCCCCTCAGGGTCGGTGAACAGCACTAGATACCTCGACACTTCGTGTCTCGGTATATATATCTACCGCTATTTACCTTCCCTTCAGGATAGTTTTAGAATATTTATCGATTCATCACATATTTTCAAGTCAATTAAAAAGTTGAATAGTTAACCAGACTTCCCCATAGCTAAAAAGAAACATATTTGTTCTCAGTGCGATTTCAATCTATTAAACATTCATATCCATATTTAAATGTTTCTACATAGTTTATACCATAACCTACGCGGAAACATACTTGCTCTGGTGTATCTAATCTCTCCTCGTTGTACAATGTGGCTCCAGAGGGACCGCTAAAAAATTAAGAAATAAGGTATCGTTACATTGGCGTTGGACATCATTCAGAGGGCAAATTCAGTTACAGTATATGCGTATAACCAACGCATTTGCCCGTTAAAAGGAAAAAACTTCTCACGAGCAAGTAGCCTGGTTATACGCGGACGCTTCAAATGAATCCGCCGTAAAGGTATGGACAAAAAAATTAAAAAATTACTAACATTTAGGGCAAGCCTTCAAGCAAAAAAAAAATTCTCACTCAAATACTGTTAGTTTACCTTTCCATGTTTCCACGGCCTTCTACCCGCGGCAAATGCGCCCTGATAACTTTGAAATTAGGTGTGGAGTTCTCCAGGCCGATGGCGAGAACGCTATTGAAGGGACAGGCTGCTAAACAGGTCACGTCATCTTCCACATATACTTCAGTTAGAAGTTCACCAGATTTGACGTTAAACAGCCCAACAGTTGAGTTATAATTATAAATAACACATATCACATCGTCACTGATAAACGTACAGTGACTTAAGAGGGAAGGAGGATGTAAAGTATGGAGCGTGTTTCCTGTTTCGGCATCCAAGACAAGGATATCTTCACACGTGCCAACAACTAGGAACTGTTCCGTAGGTGAGAAAGCCACAACCTGGTAATAAGAGACACTGCCTTCCTTTTTCCAAACAAGTGTTTCCCCATCAAAAAGCTGAAGAAGGCAAGAATAAGAAATAAACACACATCTTTCAAATTTCCTTTGAACTAACAGCTGACATTTACTGTTGCAGGAAAGAACTGTTCCTTGTGAAACTGCGATTGTTGACACAACTTTTCCACTGCTTGGATCTAGGATTTTCACGTCAACCTCTCCCACGACTGCTAATCGTTCTTCTGATAGAGGGACCAGTTGTTTGACTCCAGGCAGGTTGGTCCACCTTTTGATTCTTTTAGCGAGGTTACCACTCCACAATTCAATAGATATACATTTTTTGCTTTCTCTCGTTAAGAATAGGTCTCCACCTCTAACAGGACACAAAGGATGGTACTGTAAAACCCCGCAGTTTATCTCTGCTTTACGCTTCCGACTCGACGCGTCATAAGCAGTGACTGATGTAACACTTGCAACAAACACGGTCTGACCATCCAAACTGAGTGCTATCCCAGCAGCTGCAGTAGCTTCGCCTTGATCGTTTCTGTTTACGTAATTGGTATCCGCCATTTCCATTAGATTCGAAACGGAACGTAGCAGACGTTGCGTGTCAAGACCAAACGTCAATAGATGCTGAGGACCTTTTGTGGAAATAAGATCGCCAAATAAAAACCCACAATCATTAAAAGATTCAAAAGTCTCGGAATCACGAGACACAATCGTTAAGGAGAATCTGTTGTTTGCTTCCTTTACAACTTTGAGACAAAAAAGGGACTGATCATGATGAATTAATTGTACTTTATCTACAGCGCAACAAAAAATGAATCGATGATCAGGTGAAAACTTTACCATGCCACATACTTCTGGGGTAGCCATTTGTGTTAGTTTTCTGAAATTACACATCACATCATACAAACTAATCACTCCCGAAGAATGTGAAAGTACAAGAAGGCTTCCATCACCAGACCATGCAAAAGATAAAATGTCTTCATTTACGAGGATTCGATCAACCTCTGAGCCACTTTCCAAACTCCACAGGACAAGGCATTTAGAACTCTCGAGACAATTAGTTAGAATTTTGGTCTTGTCGCCTGAAATGGAGCAAACTGAGAATCTACAGGTACTTCCGAGATAGAGCGGTTTCAAGCCTCCGTCCATAGTATAGGCCTGACTTAGAACCCCAGGTAAAATACATTCCTTTGTAGGGTGGAAAACAACAGAGCGGAAAAATGAAAACGTGTCTACAGAAGGTAACGTTCTATACACGTAGGACATGATCCTCTTCTCTACTACGACTGGGCGTGCCCACACTAGCCTGCCAGTACGGAGTGACCACAGCTGCAGCATTCCGTTGTTACATTCACACACCATATAATCCAACTGTGGAGAGACGTCCAAACAGATCACATCAGATGAACATGGAAATCGGGCTACAACACCTCCCTGCCTCTCGTTATGAACAACCTCCAGATATGGTATTTCACGATACTTATTTCGCAAAAGATTTGACGCCTCAACAGTCAACACTTTTCCTCCTTGGTTAAGTATGGTTTGAAGAAACCTGCGAGGGGTATCCGTGAGTAAAAGGCGGTTCCTTCTCAATAGAAACAACAATGTGTCAAGAATACTTTGGTTATCTTTTGATAACAATGTAAAGATGCCCTGCTTTTTAAGCCACACGAGATCCTCAGCCGCCGCTCTTGCGCTGTTTACGCAGGTCTTAGCATACACGATTTGTAAATCTAAAATGCTAGCCTTTGTCAGTTCGTTCAGCTTGTTTGGCTCTGTCTTGACGCCTTTGTGTAGCATGTGATATGCACCATGATACAACGCGTAGCGCTCAGTGGCGCTAAATTGTATGTTATGTACACGTTTCAGTTTCAGATTTTCAAGCTCGTCAGTACACAGGGCTGCTAGTATACGATGTCCCACAGTTTCATCCACGATGAATTCATGCTCGCCATAACTTGAAACGTCTGTTAACCAGTCTTGAACTGACTTGTGAATGACATGAAGACAACCGTCACGGACAGGAAGAAGAGCGGAAACACTATTCAAGGCTCTTAGTAACTTACGCCTTGTAAGTGGTGAATTAGTACTTGGTACTAATACTTTAGAAACAAAACCCACTGGCAGGGGCTCCCTTGAGGTGGTAATGGCAGATAACAGATTCAGGAACTTTTCTTCCTTTATCTCGAGTTCCTTCAAGAGTTCACGTTCCAAACGTTTGAAATAGGAATGATACATTGAAGAAATTCCTAATGGTGAACTCCCGACAAGGTCTTCCTTGTGGAAAACTGATGCATTTTCAGTAATCGACAAAATGAGAAAATGGCTGTACAACATCAGTCCTTCAGATTTCAAAACTAGTCTTTCCACAAACTCGCCGACATTCGCTGGTTTTACCACGTGCTCCAGTCTTTTTAGGCAAAATACTCTGACATCTTCCAGATTCTCTTTATCATTAGCCTTCAGTTCAAACGGTTTCAAATGTTTTAGTTTCTCTGCAATGTTTAAGGCTGGGCGCGTCGTGACAAGAAAACGAATCCAAATAGGAAGCTTACAAAACTGACTTGCAATCACATCAAGAAGCTCATTTCTTCCTTTGTATTCGCTTTCATCCAAGCCATCTATCACCGTGAGCATGTTTCTTCCTGGGTCACCGACAGCACTAAGAGGTTCCTTAAAAAGCAAAGCAAACAACTCCTCCACACCCATGTTGTTGAGATCTGTACCCAGATTTCTTGACAACTGTTCCACAAGAGCTTGCTTGTACTCTGGCAAGGCATGGGACAAGTGACAGGCAAGCGACTGAATCATTAACTGAGGCTTACAGTAGCGTACATTGTTATACTGACAAAAATGACTTCCTGACAGTCTGCCAGCTTCTTGCATTCTCTTGCAAATCACAGCTGCGATGACAGATTTTCCCATCCCTGCATTTCCACTGATTACCATCACGCGGTTTTGAGAGCTTCTGTCATTCAGCCAGTTCTGAACTCTGTCAAAGACCCACTCACGCGTGCCTTTTTGAAATCTCTGCACGTAATACTCAATGTCTCCACTGAATTCAGACTTGGCGAGATTTCTAAGGACCTCGTCTGAGCTATCTTTGTCTTTTCCTTCTTTTAAACTATAAACTGCTTCCTTTATTTCCTTAAGATCTGTTGCAACTTCTCTCACGTTCTGATTCACTTCTTTTACGCTTTGGTGAGTTTGGGTTTGTATGTGATGCATGTCTTCTACTCTTTTTTGAGTCTTGGCCTGGGTCTGCTGTATGTCTTCTACACTCTTTTGTGTCTTGTCCTGGCTCTGAAGTATTTCTTTCACTGTCTTTTGATCCTTCACTTGTGCTAGACGTACATCTTGAACTGCTTGATGCGTTTGGCTCTGAGAATGATGAATGTTCATCAAATGTGACTTAATATTCTCTTCACTATCAGCCCACTTAATCAACACGTCAATATAATCTTGCTCTCCACCTTTCTCTGCCTTCAACCTATCAACTTCCGCCTGATCGAGACCAAGACTCACAAGAACACCACTAATTTCAGTCCACAGAGCAGAGAAAGTTGATGTATCAACACCAGTGGTTGTCACATGACCATACAAGATATTGCGATAGAACTTAACCCGTGCAAGGTTAGCCTCATGAGACTTGTCACTTGAGGGTGGTTTAGTATGCCATCCTGAGGGGGGAGGGGTTAGTCCACAGATCTTAGTCAGAAGGAGAAACAAAAGAGTGATGTCAAAGGTGTTGGATTCTGGAGGGACTCCACCAGGTGGAAATAGTTTTTCCCACTGTTGGCGATTTAGAACTCGGCGACGTAAAAGATTGTTAAGAATGGAGTAATGAGTATTTAAGTCAGTAATCAAGTTTGTAGGAGGATGATGACCATCAAAAATCTTCCTAAGAACTGTTGTTCCACCGTCGATGAGAAGCCTGCTGAGCTTGGCTCCATTCGTCTTCTCCACAGAACTGGCCAGCGGTGATGGTGCTGAAGTAGCCATGAAAAGGTCCACTACATATTCCTGCAGGGGGAAGAAAAACAATGCAAAATTGTTTGTGTTATCATCCTATTCTGAAGCAATTATTCCGGAAAAGAACTGGCTTAAAACAAGCATTAAATTTTCTAAATTCCTAATGCAGTACACTAGCCTCGAAAGTTGTCCTTAGCCTCTTTATGAAAGCGATTTCTAGTACACCATGACTTTTCACGTGAAGGCGTGAGGGGGTGTAACATAATCTTCACGTGAATGAAAAGTGTTTTACATACAGTGTATGAATAAATGAGCACTAATTAAGAACCATTTTCTGAGAAAATTGAGAATCGCAAGACACTCGTCAAAAAATCGAATTTTTTATTATTTTGCCAAAACATCCCTTTTACTGACCTAATTTAAGGAAAAATAGTTTTGGGTTCAAACGATTCATTTTAAAGGAGAAATTAAAAAAAGTTTGAAAAATCGATCTTTTGCCTTTTTTCCCCACAAAACATGGCAGCATGCAATGGCAACTTCGAGAGAAGGGTGAACGCGTAAGAAACATTCCCTGATATTGAAACCTCAGCGAATTATTATTTCGTTCTTACTCTTTAACATCCTAAAAGAAAATTTGACATTTGAAATTTTACATTTTTATAATCGACAAGTATAAAGAGTTTATATTTGTGACGTTGGACATGCTAGAAAATGAAGGCCAACTTTGAATATTATAAAAGGCCTCTGGTATATGCCGCTTGATCATAAAAGGAATATAAAATGGTAGCCTGGCATTGTACTAAATTTCTGGAAAGTTTTAGCTCTGGAAATCAAAAACTATCCTGACACCAACGCAAGCGGTGAGAGCTATTGAATAGGGAAAATTTATGCAAATTAGACGGCTTGCGGACGGTTGCCAAACTAACAAAAAACTTTCACATGAAAGGATTACTCACCATTCCTTGGAACACGTTTTTACAGGGAGGAAGGTTATTTCCAACTTCAGTTGCATCGTTTTGAGTCACAAAGCCAAACGAAATGCGACAAACGTACGTTTGTTCCGAAACTGCGTCCGAGCAATCCGGCAATCCGTCCGTGAATCGAAATAAGCTTAAGCAGCGACGTTTTTGAGCGACGCACGTCAACCGGAAGTGAGGTATTTTCCCCCTTAACATGCCTTGATGATACAAAATTTGTATTCGTTAGCTTCTTTACTGTTATAGAGGCGATTTGACTGAAAATTTGCGCGAAACCACCGTCAAAAAATGAAAAAAAGGCCACTTCCGGTTGACGTGCGTCGCTCAAAAACGTCGTTGCTTAAGCTCTTAATGTCTTAATGTCTTAATGTTGCTTAAGCTCTTAATGTCATAGCACGTTACTGCGGTCATTTAGAAGCAAAAGTTTCAAGAGTTTACCTCAGTCGGGAGACAAACTGAAGGAGTGAAAATTCATCGCAAACTAGTGACTTCGATTTCGAAAACCTTTCATCACTTCAATTGTTCGTCAACAGATAATATACACCCCACAAGATAGTATGACCTTTGGCGTGTTGGCGTGTGACCGGAAATCGGTCACACGCTAAAGTCACGCTAGCTTACTGTCACGAAATTTTAATACGATTTTTCACCTCTGTTTTCGACAAGAATTAGAATCATCGAAATCGAAATCGAAACAGGCTTGCTTTATTTGATATTTTTAATTTCTTTTATAGCCAGCAGAACTTGTTCCCCATGCATTGCGCGTGTCTCGCACTTGAAGTCGGTGTCTTAGTGCTGGCAAAAAAGAAAAAAAAATTGGCGTCTGTTCAGCAGTCGATTTCTTCACCAACTAGGTATTGACAGGTTGTGAAACAAGTGTATTTTTTTTGAAGTGCTACATCATTTTCCTATAAATTTCAAACGTCATTGATCTGTTTGGACCTCGGGTTTGGACCCTGTTGATAGAGAAAAGCTGTCCCGGAAAGAGGGTCACCCTCCCAGCCGAGCCAACTTTACGGAGTATTTGTAAGGAAAAATTGACCACTTTTCCCGAGTCAACAGTGTTCGCGCATATTGTTTGTGTCTAGCCTTGACCTAGTTGATAAAGCTAGCTGGGCGAGCTAAAGCGGAGAAATGTTAGCCCGGCTAGAAGGGTGAGCTAACCATCCTCACTGGCGGGTCGCCTTGAACACCCGCCCACTCGGCTTGTAGAAAGGCGTTTGTCAGTTCACACTGTCAGGAAATTTTCGTAACTGTTGTGAGCAAGTTTATATAGTTTTTCACATTTCGTCTTGAGAAGAAATACTCTCATCTCTGTAGAAAAAGCTTTGCTTTTTCTATATTTCTTCTACAGACACCTACTAGGCTGTGTGAAACAGCTCATATTTTTGCCTTCGAAGTACTATATGGGAAGGGTACTTCAGATTCCAAGTGACGGGGATGATCCGAGGAAGCTAAAATCAAAACCAAAAAAGAACGAATATTTTGAACACTTAAATAAAGCCTCAGCTAAAAAGAGGTTTGTTCCCAAAACATCTCAGAACGGAAAACTTCAAACCCAGAAAAAAACACACTTCGATCATCCTAGTGACTTGGAATTAATCTGGCCAGAGTACCATCCCCTCCCCCATCCCAAGTCAAAATAGTAAGTTCCCACAATGTCCCGACTAACAATCCCGATAGTCAAGGGAGTATACTCCCTTGCAATAGTAAAGAACTTGAAGGATAATGCCAATTCTCTGTGGCCAACGGACTCAATGCTATAGTTTACTTCAGTTTTGATTTTTGATTTTTTCGCGATTTGCTCACGACCAAATTATGAAACCTATTATATATTTTACAAGAAAAAACACAAACAAACGGTCAGTCGGACAGACAGACAGAGAACATGAGAAAAAAAAACTCCGTTAAGATACAAAAACATGAAAGTACGACACTGCCGGATACGAAAACCCAGAAACCATTTAGTGAAAACTGAGGGGTTGGATACGGCCACCTGCTGAAATCAGCTTCTTTGTCCACACCACGCGGGTAGAAGTACTCGGAAACTAGTGATTGCGAAATACTGACTGGAATAATACCTATCACAGAAAGCTACTCATGATGTCTTCTAGCAGACCCGGTCCTCTTGGTCCGCGTCGTCAAAGTAGCTCATCCCGACCGTTTCCACATATACTACAATAGGCTCCCTAGATTTCGCACAGGTAGCCCAAGCTCGAAATATGAGCACCGGCTAGCATCGGCATTGTTGCGTAACATTCAAAATATAAGGATTTGTATGGGAAAAAAACCTATCGTTTCTGTAACCTACGAAAATGAAAGGATTTCAATAAAGACCAGCTTACCTATAAACAATGTAAACCTTTATATATAGAGAAAACCGTTTACATAAAAACCCATAAAACGGCCATAAATCGGCCCGTGGACCACACAGGGGAGACGTAACACACATTTTAAGTAAGGTAAGCTGTTTTTTTTTTTATTGAAATCATTTCATTTTTGTAGGTTACGGAAACGATAGGTTTTTTTCCCATACAAATCTTTTTTTTTAATATTACGCAACAATGCCGATGCTCGCCGATGCTCATATTTCGAGCTTGGGCAACCTGTGGATTCCCTAGCCTCCCACGCAGACGTTCCTGCCCCACGACAGATGGGGGAGATTGCGGGACGAGCCAAAAGAGCGTCTGCGCGGAAGGCTAAAGGTTCCCACGATGATACAAGAAAAGTCGAGTCATGTATTCCGCATGCTCGTGTTCATCGAGAAAAAAAAAATCATTCAAAGTACCACTTGAAATTCACAACTGCGATTTTAGTTCCAGGACAGACAAAAAATACAAGTGGTGACGAGTGAGGCAGCATCGAAAAGCAGTTAGAGCGCTGGACTTGTAATTCGAAGGCCCAACCTTAACTCGCCTTAATGCTACAACCCCGGACAAAACCTGTTGAGACAAATCGCGAAAATGCCTATTTTTTCCTGTCATCCCGGCAAAAACTGAAACCTCCGCCAAATGAATGCCCGATTTCCCCCCTCCCCTTATCCAAAGTTGTTTAGGATAGCATGGCAATTATACACGTTGGTTTTTAGACCAAGGCAACTTTGAATAGGGGGTGGAGAGGGGGTTTACTTTTTGTGTTTAGGGGAGACGGGAGTAGGGCGCAAAAGTTAGAAAATAGACGGAATTGTCTCAACAGTTTTGTCCGGGGTTGTCTGTGAAGGCCAGTTGTTCAAATCGCTGTAACTTCGCAATGTAAGGTCGGAGGGTATTGATTTTTTGCACAGATGTTGTAATTGTCTAAAGCTTTGTGATTACGAAAAAAGGTGTCATAAAAACAATTAGGACGCATTAATTATGCACTTAGAAATTTAGCCATAAATTAGAAACCTTGTACCTAAATGAGAAAGAAATCATGCTCTTTACAGAAAAAGTATTGAAATTAATTGTGATTGGTGGCCACGGTTAAGGAGTTACTGTGTGTCACAAATATGATATCTTAATAGGAACCTTACCTCCGGCCTTTTTGCCAACGTTAATTGTGCTTACATGTCGAATAAATTAGATAAGACTGGATATTTATTATATTTGCACAGGACAACTGTCCTGTTCAAAAATAATAGTGCGTGGTGTGCAGGTCATGCACGAGGACTCAAGAATGCGGCGGAGCAGTTAAAAATACCCCTTAGAGGTAGTGATACTTAGTTGCACTGACAACTTTCTCCATGTAGTTACAGTAGAACTGGAAAAGTAAGCTTCACCGAGTTAACAATACCCGCGTTTACTGAGTGTGTAATTAGAACAATTTACAACATATATACCAGATTATCTACGTGACAAAATAATGGAATCCATGCCGATAAAACCGTTAATTTTTCTATGACAATTAAGGTCAAAAGAACAAATATTAACGAAGAACTTCCAAAATGGGTAGAAATAGGATGTGTAGGGAAAGCAATGCCTCTTTGATCACAAATACAGCGAAAACATGTTGTCACGCGATGACAGTTCTTTTGTGGCAAAAACACAGCGCATTTCATGACAATTACACCAGTGTCAAAAAGTTTTCCCTTAAGTAAAAAGGTCTTTTTAATGCTTGAAAATCAACAAAAAGGTTCTATATACTACGGAAAATGCTTGAAAGCACCGTAAACGCTTGAAATAAACGATTAACAGGCACGCACATGTTTATTCCAACGGTTAACAACGGTTGAACAGCGGAAACTGATAGTCTAACTGTTGTTTTTCCTCAGAAAGGTTGTTAACCGTTGTTAACCGTCGTTAAGCGATGTTTCTTTCCTCTGCCGTACTTTATTCGTTAAGTTAACCGTCTGCGAGAAAAGCTACTCCGTTTTTGTTGCATAACAAGCTCATCAAAGCACCTTACACATCAAGGGATTTCCCGTTATTGTTCCCGCGGGATCTGCGTGGAGAAATGAGAGATCCATCATACCACATTCCAGTTCGTACACAATTCCACATTTGCTGAAACTGAGGCAATGGTGTCCTATTAAGTGTAGGATCTTTGCACTGCACTTGGCGAACGACGTAATCACTGCTAAGGCAAATTACTCGCGGGATGGAAAAATGAGCCAAATTCGCGTGACTGTAAGTGACCAGATAAGCGCACTAACCTTCCTCTCACCCAGTGATTCATGCGATATTTCCGAGCCTCCTGAAAATGATTCGTCACTATCGGAAGTTCTCGAGAGATCCATTTTGTCTGGCGATTACACATCAGTGTCATCATTTGAGCACGCAAAGCGTCTACGGACACGTAAGCCGTTGAAAGTCATGCCCATGGTAACGTCACAGAGTAAATGTCATTTGACAGATCATGTAATCAGAGTGTTATAACTTCAATTTTTACTGCAAAAATTTTATTTCGCATTCAAAAGAAAAAAAAAGTATGCTGAAACAATGGCTTTTATCAATTTGACCAAAAAAGAGGACTATAACTTGAGGTAATTGCTATGAAAGTTAAAGAATACCGAAAACAGTCCGTAGACAACCCCGGACAGAACCTGATGAGACAAATCGCGAAAATGCCTATTTTTTCCTGTCATCCCGGCAAAAACTGAAACCTCCGCCAAATGAATGCCCGATTTCCCCCCTCCCCTTATCCAAAGTTGTTTAGGATAGCATGGCAATTATACACGTTGGTTTTTAGACCAAGGCAACTTTGAATAGGGGGTGGGGAGGGGGTTTACTTTTTGTGTTTAGGGGAGACGGGAGTAGGGCGCAAAAGTTAGAAAATAGATGGAATTGTCTCAACAGTTTTGTCCGGGGTTGTAGCTGGATTTGGTCTCGGTATTCCAGCATGTTCCAGAGTTCAAATACTCGGCAGACCTAACATCAGAGTGGGTCCGATGGATCCCGAGGGATCTTGCGAAAAAGAGAGAAATTGCAAAAAGCAAAACATTAGAAAAACAGCATGGATATAGTCCTGCCATATTCTGACAACGAAAAAAAGGCGAGAAGAAATTGATATTACTTAATGTTTTGTTCGTTTTGCTTTATTTTTGCATTTTATTAATACTGAAAAGAGAAGTCTGGGGAGGAGAGTGTACTGAGATGCTGCGTGTTCGAAAGGTTGACTAATGCTATCCCCTGGATAAATCTCTACCCAAAAATACTTATTCGCTCGATATTGATTTCCGATGGGTAGCGCTATGCAACGTTTGAACAACAGGGCCCTGAACGTTTTGTTTGCCTTTGCTCTAAAAAACCGATAAACCTTATAAATCACCTTCTTGAATGATTGCAAATGATTCAATTATCCACCGTTTGCGTATCCCACGGGAGTGTATATACTTTCCTGGCTCTCGTCACTCAAAGTGAATTGATTGTGGTTTATACTCCAATAATACCTGTAAGAGGCTTACCGATACAAAAGGGGCTCAGGAAGGGGGCATGGATGCGAGAATCATATGCAAAAAAAAAATGAAAGTTTGTGCTTACCCTTGGAGTTATCTGGCGGTTACTCGCATACCCGAGCTAGCCTGGGAGAGCCAACGTTTCCTGCATTTCCTTAAAAAACATGGGAAACCGTTTACATGAGAAACGAAAGGTCGGTTCGGATAGACGCTTTACTCTTACTAGGTACCAGAAGTGGGCAGGGTTCAAGGCGACCCGCCAGTGAGGATGGTTAGCTCACCCTTCTAGCTGGGCTAACATTTCTCCGCTTTAGCTCGCCCAGCTAGCTTTATCAACTAGGTCAAGGCTAGACACAAACAACATGCGCGAACACTGTTGACTCGGGAAAAGTGGTCAATTTTTCCTTACAAATACTCCCTAAAGTTGGCTCGGCTGGGAGGGTGACCCTCTTTCCGGGACAGCTTTTCTCTATCAACAGGGTCCAAACCCGGGGTCCAAACAGATCAACTACTTTTGAAATTTATAGGAAAATGATGCAGCACTTACAAAAAAATGCACTTGTTTCACAACCTGTCAATACCTAGTTGGTGTCTATAAAGTAAATCGACTGCTGAACACTGAGACACCGACTTTAAGCGCGAGACACGCGCAATGCATGGGGAACAAGTTCTGCTGGCTATAAAAGAAATTAAAAATATCAATTAAAGCAAGCCTGTTTCGATTTCGATTTCGATGATTCTAATTCTTGTCGAAAACAAAGGTGAAAAATCGTATTAAAATTTCGTGACAGTAAGCTAGCGTGACTTAAGCGTGTGACCGATTTCCGGTCACACGCCAACACGCCAAAGGTCATAATCTAGTGCGGTGTTTATTAGGGAACTTAAGAACCACGACGACGACTTTGTCGACGACGACCGGAAGTGAGATACCGTGCACTGCGCAAGCGCGGTTAACAAATTTCGTCGTCGTGGTGTCGTCGACGACGCATTCTCGTCCCCAGAGCCCGTCGTTTCTTAGTCACGTGGTCGGGAAACGAGGGGCTCTGGAAGCAGCCGTTACCGGATGTCAGAAAATTTCTGACATCCGGTTGCGCATATGCAGAACTTACAAATATCACTGCTCATGCTCATAAGGGATTTTTGTCCCTCACCGCTCCACTGGGGGAAAAATTTTACTCCCTGAGCTCTCTCCAGAGAGTGGCTTCTTTGGGATGTTTTGAAAATGCACCACTTCACTCAACTTGGATTCACTGATAATTTGGAGTTAAAAGAAGAAGACAGCAACAGAAACCGGCTGAACACACTGTTGGTTTGCAGAACTGAGATAATTAATCGGCAGACTATCGCCTGAGTTACGTGAGTTTTTTTTTTCAATACGTTTGGCGAACAAACACTGGGAAAGCAATATCGCGAAGATCGATATAATGCAGGAAGGTGTCTTGTTCCATGTCCTGCAACTGCTATCGTACTTCAAAACCATAGGCGTACGGGCCGGGGGAGCGAGGGGGGCTGCAGCCCCCCCAAAGTTTGGGCAACTCAGATTTTTTGGGTAGCAAGAGAAAATTTGGGCACAGCCAGTTTATAAAGACGTTTCCATGTTTTTTTTTATTATTATTATTTTGAAGAGATAAATATTTTCTATTTTAACCAGAAGTCGGCGTAATAATTCAGTTACTTTCACACGAGACAGTGGTTGCCTAGCACGTGATGAGTTTCTGGTTATAAGAGAAGGGTATCATATGCTGATTTTTTTTTGTTTGGCACTGTACTTCACTGTACTAGCTGGAGTGGGCTATTTCCAGTCATGAATTGATTAGAATAGACTTCCGCATAACTTTCAAGAATAACCTCGGCTCCTAGAACAGTGTGTGGCAGAACACGCATCAGCAATGGGTCTGAAGGTGAAGTGGCTGACTAATTCTCAGTTTGAATTACGAGAAGAATCATAATTTTCTTAAAAAAATCTATCGAGGGGTTTAAAAATTATTCACTAATTTGTTTAAGTAGACCGAAATGTTTACGAAACCCCTAACAAGATCGAGCGCTAATCAAATCCTTCCTTACAGCAATTGGCAGGAGTCAATGATCTCCATGATCTTTTAATAAGATTGAAACTACTGTGAGGTGAAATTGCATGTCAAAAGCGCTCCGTTTTCTTCAGATTACAACTAAACATCGAGATTTTCCTTTTTTACCTTATTTCTAACAACAAAAACTTCATCCCAAAATATCTCGATAACGCTCTTACAGTTCCGCCTTTTAACTTCACGAACATCGAGGCGACTATTGTTGACTATTGGAGGAAAGAGCTCCCCTGATCGATTTTGTAAGAACAGTTCCCAGTGAGAAATATTGCTGCAAGTATAATAGGTAATGGCGTCATTTTGTTGCTATGACAGCTCCATGTCATTGCAATCCTGATCATGACAAATTTCCCTCTTTATCTAATACAACTGTGGTGGCAATTTTTTCCAAATGCTTGTTTGTGGCGACGTAGTTTATGCTCAAACTTGGCAGGTATTGACTCTGAAAAACTGTATCGAGCCACTTTCATATGCCAGTACGGCCTATTTTGTTGCATGGCCCTAGTTTCGTTTCGACTGTTTTGTAAAAGTTTGGGCAACTTGCAAGAATTTTTTGGGCAAATGGATTACCGCCCCCCCTGGCAAAAAATTGCCCGTAGGCCTATGTTCAAAACGCTTTTTGAAACGAAACCATTCATGTGTTGTATTAGGAGAGTAAAATATATATTTCATTTCGCTCGAGATGGTTGTGTTTTTTGTGGTCACTCTGTCGCATGTCGTGGTTTTAATTTTGTCCATGAGCTTTTGTGGACAACACGTGTTAGACAACCGAAGGATTTACGTCGAAACTAATCAATGTTAATCATTTTACCGACCCAGGGTTAAAAACATATATTACAAGGTTTGTCCAGGAGAAGTGACAGTCTAATACACCTCCATGGGCTTCCATGCATAGCAATTTTATACAGTACTTGGTGAATCAAATTCCAGTTCAGTTCTCTCTGGAACCCTAACTGAAACTTGAACCCTAGTCCTAACTCTAATCATAAAACTTTCTGGGTCATTTGGTGTTTATGGGGGCCATTCGGTGTTCTGCTAAAAGGGTTTATCCTCCTAAAGATTTCAGGTATCATCTCCTAACTAAAAATCACCATCAGTACCTCAGAGAGAGAGTTTTCAATAATTTTGCTGTCAGACTCAGAAAATCATTAATACCTGAAAAATGTTGATTTTGTAGTGACCAATCACCATAAAGTTCAGTACACATGACCAAACCTCAAAACCACAAAGTAATTACCATTGCTGTTTGAGGTTTTGTTTTCTCACTCCTTATTAGCTTTTTCTTTCCAACACCATAGCATTCCTTAATACTTGTGGTATTCATGGTTTTGTAACTTTCACAGTATGGGTGAGCTCTTGACACCTTTGTTGTAGGGGTATAAACAGTTATATCTACTTTTGATTACCAGTTACTAATAAAAAGTGTTTCCCAGGACACTGGTTCAGTAGGAAGTGATGGTAATTATGCAAATGTATCCAGAGAGAAACCTGTTAAGTACCACTTATGAGCTCATGCGCTACAGATAGATCTTTGTAAGAGGTTTTAAGGCCTTTTTTTCTTAGGGGAGGGCTTACAACCAGGGGGACATTTTTTCCTGTTCACTGGTAAATGGGCCTATAACTGGGGGGCTTATACGTTAGGGGGGAGGCGTAAAAGCAGTAGTCTATGGTAGCCTGTGCCAGACATTCAGGTATTGGAGAAGGTGCAAAGAAAACAAAACTAAAAAAAAACCCTGCTTTTTTAATGCTCTACTTCTCACTATCTGAATGCCTAGAACGGTTTACCACAAGCTAATAGCTGTACTTTCTTATCTGGAACAGTGAAATGTAAAGTGATATATGCATTGTATATACTGACTGTATGCTTTAAGAGATTCCCCCGTTAAGAAGTACACTTTGAGTAACACACAACCCAAAAGCATTTTCTTGGGTAGCTGCTCTCATCACGTTTTGAGACTGGAGTGCAAGACCTGCAAGGTTTGAAATTGGGGATAGAACTTTGGATCAGGCTTGAAATAGGATAGTGAAAATCACATAGTTTGGTAAAAATTTGGCAAGGCAAGAAGCATACTGCAGGGTGAATCTGAACTGATTTTTGGAGGGTAGTGCCCCACCCCCAATCCCCACCCTCTGCAGTTGTATTGAAACTGAATGTGGTGCTTTATATAGTTAAAGTACAATGTCTGCTCACAGGTTTTGATAATGTATGATTTTATGGTTCCCTTAAATTCTTTATTTTGTGTTGTAACATGAGACCTCCAACTAGGAAAAAGTTTTACCGGAACTGAATCATTGACCAGTGGAAGCAAGTTTTAATTTGCCTCATCATTATTTGTCAATAACCAAGTAAACTAAGATGCCCTATGCTTCAGTAACTCAGTAAGCCAATGCTGTGTGTAAGTTCAAGGAGGGGTGGAGAGCAGGTGTTGTTAGTATTGGCGAGTAAACTATGATATTACTGTTGATCAAGCTATAATGTTATCG